TTCCCCTTACTTTTTAGGAGGAAAAAAGTGAGTCTTATAGAGCAAAAAATATGGTGTATATATATGAAGAAGCACGGGGGTAGATAGCCCAGCCAGCGGACGCTTCATTAGACAGCATAGACAATCCGCAGTCTCCTAGAACACAACATTAGTTAAGGGTGCAAGAGCAACAAACGCAGAGACATTTAACCACGGGGGGCCTCCATAGGGTCAGGTGCTGTTAGGAAAGAAGGAAGGGGCGGGTAGGAGTCAGAGTGTGCACCTTCATTATGGAGGAATGACCGGAATTCTTTGTCTTTTACCGTGATGACTGAATAAATCATTCGTAAGAACTTTCTTGTTTCCTCCCTGCCTCTTGGTGCCATCGGGGGTGGGGGGAGGCAGGGTATTCCTCAAGCCTAACATAGGGTGGTGTTATTGTTTTATACATCTTGTTAGTGTTATGATTTCCCCCCTCTCTGCTGGTGTGTAAAAAAGGTAAAGGAAAGGACCCCAGTCAAAGGCAGCTATGGGGTTGCAGCACTTATCTCACTTTCAGGCCGAGGGAGCTGGCGTTTGTCCACAGACAGCTTTCCAGGTCATGTGGCCAGCATGACTAAACTGCTTCTGGCACAACGGAACACCACAACGGAAACCAGAGCGTATGGAAATGTTGTTTACCTTCCCGCCACAGCGGTACCTCTCTATCTACTTGCACTGGCGTACTTTTGAACTGCTAGGTTGGCAGAAGCTGGGACAGACCATTGCACGGATTCAAACCACTGACTTTCCGATCGGCAAGCCCAAGAGGCTCAGTGGTTTAGACCACAGCGCCACCCGCGTATTTTATGAATCATAGTGTCCCGCCACAGATAATGGGTGGGATATAAATTAGAGAGATTCACAGATGTTCTGCACACATAGCAGAGCATCCCCACTGCGTTCATCATGGAGTATCCTTCAACTCATGGAGCAGACCTTGCACACATAGTGCTCACTGGAGGTGCACCATGCAGAACGAAGCCACTGGCCCTGGTGATCCAGCTTCATGCAAGCACCGTAGCAATTGCTGTGCATGGGTACCCCTGGCCTGATTGGCGATCGTGCCAGTCAGCTCTTTGAGCTGGGAAAATCGGAAAGGTGACCTGCACCACTCAACTCCTCCACTTCACCAGATTATCCGTCCTCTTGCTCATTAGCTGAACAGGCCCGTGCATGTCTGGTCTTGGCAGCTGGACAAGGTCAGGAACTGTTTGTACAGTGTCATTTTTCTTTAACCAGCTATAATCACAGTGCAGAACAATAGCAGTTACTGTCTAATCTGACGCTTGAAGGACCACTTCACAAATGACATTTTATGGGTGTTCACCTTTCTTTAAGTATACACCTAAAAATGTAAAGTGTGATCACAACAAATGCAGTGGTACCTCGGGTTAAGAACTTAATTCATTCTGGAGGTCCGTTCTTAACCTGAAACTGTTCTTAACCTGAGGTACCATTTTAGCTAATGGGGCCTCCTGCTGCTGCTGCGCGATTTCTGTTCTCATCCTGAAGCAAAGTTCTTAACCCGAGGTACTATTTCTGGGTTAGCGGAGTCTGTAACCTGAAGCGTCTGTAACCTGAAGCATCTGTAACCCAAGGTACCACTGTACATGTTTGCAAACATCCAGATTGTACAGAAACACTCTCCATGGAGGTTCCACTGTCTGTAACTTCTTGTGGAGTATACAGTCCATGGAAAACCCAGGTTTGCCTTTGCAGCAGGTGGTTCGAAGGGGACTATCGCCTGAAAAGGAGGAGGAATGCGGCCAAGCTATTTGCAGGAACATTCCTATGTCAGTGTCAAGTGTCAAGTTCCCCCCAAGCATTTTAATTAACGTTCCTTGTTCCCCTGTTCCTTCAGCAGGGGGTAAATTACCTGTTTACAGTACTTCAAAGTGTCATTGTAAACATTAATTCATATTTACTTTGTATATTGAAGGTGCAAAGTGTCAAAAGAAATATATTATTATAATAATTAACATGTGTCACTTAAAAAAAGGCATTTGCAGAGCATCGGTCACAGAGCACACATTCATTCATATCCACCTGCATTCATCTTTCTCTCCACAGCTACTCCTTCATCTATTGAAATCCTTGTCATTGTATCTGAATCCCACACACAAATACATATATAATTCGCTGCAGGGAAACTAAATTTACTAACGTTTATTTTTGAAGATTATTTCTTCAATGCAACTTAATTGCAATAGATGCAACTACAATTTCTTCATATCTCCACCCTCCACCCCTTCTACTATGGTTCCATTGGGCATGTTGGCGGGAATGACCAAAACTTCAGGTTACCCTCACCTGCACCACTTGCAGGTTTGGGGTCTGTAAGGTACAGTAGTGTTGTGTGCCAAGGCCCCGTGATCCAGTTGCGATGAAATAACCAGACAAGACAGCAGAATATAGGTTTTGGGGTTCAAAGAGGCCACAACTTTGTTGGACAGGCATTGGGTGAAGCCTCCCTGTCTGCTGAGAGTGTATCTAAAGTTAAACTGCAACATGGGGGCCCCTATGACCTACATCAAAGAGAAGTACCCCCCCAAGAGGTCCCCACTGGAGGAATTCTATGGCCCTAGCATCAGTCTTGGCATCAGACAGAAGCAACTCCTCAAGGATCCCTTAACCAAGGAGGGGCAGGCAGAGGCTACAACCTCCCATCCAGCCAAGACTAAGGCTTACCCAATGCCTAACCTCACAAAGTTGTGATGACTGTTATGAGGTAGACCAGGCGTCGGCAAAACTTTTGTGGCTTGGGCCAGTTCACAGTTCCACAGACGCCGCGTTGGGCCGGAGTGTGTGTGTGCGTGCACACACATGCAAAAATGCTATTTCCGGCACTCCTTCCAGTGTGGAGGAGGTGTGTGCAGCTTGCCATTGGCTACAGGAGCTTCCTGCAGCCAATGGGAAGCTGGCCAGCATTGTGGAAGGCGGTCCCCGCTCTGCTCTGCGCCGGTTTAGCACAGAGCATGGGAGCCGATCAAGCGGGCGGCAGGGGTCCATGGGCTGGTTAAACAACCCCCATGGGCCGCTTGTGACCCATGGGACTTAGGTTGCCGATCCCTGAGGTAGCCCAAATCCAAATGGCTGGTGCCAGTTCCAGCCGGCTGCCAGCGGCCAGGCCGCAACGCCACCTGACCACTTAAGAAAAGAGGACTTAACAGAAGAAAATGCAATTTCAAGGGCCATTCTTCAAAATGCAATTACAAATAAATGAAAGTATGGTTGCTACAGTAATCTGCCAGGTTTGATTTCTGATTTTTTCGGGGAGTGGGAGTGGGAGGTGTTAGTAGCTGGATGCACTAACTCTTGAAAATGCTGGGCAGAGGGAGAGAAAAAAACATAATTTGATGTGGATCATCTCAAGCAAGCTTGCTGAATTGTGGAGGTAGGGTGGAAAGTGCTTCAGTGAAACTGACCACCTTTCCTATGCAAGTGAAATAGATAAGGAATTTAAAATTTCACGTACAGTGGCACCTCGGGTTACAGACGCTTCAAGTTACAGATGCTTCAGGTTACAGACTCCGCTAACACAGAAATAGTACCTCGGGTTAAGAATTTTGCTTCAGGATGAGAACAGAAATCGCACGGCGGCAGCATGGCGGCCCCATTAGCTAAAGTGGTACCTCAGGTTAAGAACAGTTTCAGGTTAAGAATGGACCTCCGTAACAAATTAAATTCTTAACCCGAGGTACCACTGCACGTTTCATCTCATTTCTTCTTACCTGGTACCAAGATAAGCAGGTGATGGAAACCTGTCACTTTCACCTGTGTGCTTGCCATTGTTTATACACAACTGAATAACACACACAATTAATGCTGAACATGTATAGTATGGTGCATGAAACCAAAGTTCTCATTCGTTAATGTGTCCAGATGTTTGCCAACTGCTAAAATGTGCATGGGAATTGTTTACTTGTTAATGAAAAACTATACATGCAGAGGTTGTTCAGAAAAATAAGGGAAATATGGGGCACTTTGTTTGTTTTTCTATGGCTATCTAAAATGAAAGGGAGAAAATAAAGTTCTGTAGAAATAAAGGTGCTGTTTTCACACAATTCTGTGCCTGATCCATTTAGGCCATATAATAACACACAAAAACAGGTTTCAGTGCTTGAATCCTGTATGTATGATTCTCCCCCAAACCAGCTATCTGGGCTGTGTCTCTGCAGCCAGTGTGGCATAGTGGTCACCTTGTAAGGCTACGACCTGGGAGGTAAAGGTAAAGGGACCCCTGACCATTAGGTCCAGTCGTGACCAACTCTGGGGTTGCGGCACTCATCTCGCTTTATTGGCTGTGGGAGCCGGCGTACAGCTTCCGGGTCATGTGGCCAGCATGACTAAGCCGCTTCTGGCAAACCAGAGCAGCGCACGGAAATGGTGTTTACCTTCCCGCTGGAGTGGTACCTATTTATCTACTTGCACTTTGACGTGCTTTCGAACTGCTAGGTTGGCAGGAGCAGGGACCGAGCGACAGGAGCTCACCCCGTTGCGGGGATTCGAACTGCTGACCTTCTGATTGGCACATTCTAGGCTCTATAGTTTTACCCACAGCGCCACCCGCATCCCTACGACCTGGGAGACCAGAGTTCAAATCCCCACTCAGCCATGAAGTTCACTGGGTGACTTTGGGCCACTCACTGTCTCTCAGCCTAACCAATCGCACAGAGTTACTGCAAGGGTAAAATGGCGATAACACAGGTTAGAAGTTTCGGAAAGTGAGTGCTGGGTTCAATTCCCCCTGTTGTTCCCTCTCTGCCAAAAAAACTGATTGGCACTGGCACAAATGTTACTTGTTCAACAAGATTGTGTGTGCATAGTCCTACCTGCTCTCCTTGTGGATATAGAAATGGGACCACTGGATATATTCTTTAGACTAATACCTACAAAATATTCAGTCAGGTGGAGTCTATTTTGTGTACTGGCAGGAGATAGCTTCCACTTTGTATTTTCCAGATCTTCCAATCATTGAGGTCCATACCTCAGTGGTAGACCATTTGCTTTGAATGCAGAGGGTCCCACTTTCAATCCCTGGGGTCTGCAGGCAAGGATGGAGATGTTCCATGTCTGAAACCCTTGAGACCTGTTGCCCATCAATGTAGACAATGCTGAGCTAGATGGAACAATGATCTGACACAATTCACATGCTTAACAAATCCAGTTTACTCGTATTGGGGTAGTGAGTGCATATACCCCTCCTCCATATCACACATAATGCAGGTATGTCCCATGGAGGACCTTACGGTCTTCAAACAAAAATATCTTGGAGGTCCCGGACCACAGGGAGGTTAGGCTGGCCTCAACCAGAGCCAGGGCTTTTTCGGCTGTGGCTCCAATCTGGTGGAACGCTCTGTCACAAGAGACTAGGGCCCTGCGGGACTTGACATCTTTCCGTAGGGCCTGCAAGACAGAGCTGTTCCACCAGGCCTTTGGCCAAGGCGCAGCCTGACCCCCTCTTTCTGTAATCCTCATAGCACTCTAGCCTAATGGTTGCCATCAATTTGATTTTGAATTGATTTTAGAATGAATTGATTTTAGAATGCCGTATTACTTTTACTGTTGTTAGCCGCTCTGAGCCCGGCTTCGGCTGGGGAGGGCGGGATATAAATAAATTATTATTATTATTATTATTATTATTATTATTATTATTATTTGGCCCCGTGGAGTTCCTGAACACAGAGGGACCCAGTTTATGCACCCCACAGTGCTTTTGAGGATGTGAATCATGCAAATCCAGTTTGCCCATGTGCAAGCTTTTGTGGAGAGTGCCCACATCACACAATGCACACATGGGCCAGTCCCCCCTCCTACATAAAGCGCATGTCAGCTGAGCATGTTCATCAACCCAACAGAGACAAATTAATGACTAGTGCAGGTGGCAGGGGTGCCAGCTTGAATAAACTATGGGGGGCAGGTAAGCCCCACCCCACATAATTGATCACACACACCATTTGAATGCCAATGCCCATCAACTTTTGGAGGGGGGGCACCTCCCTCAAATATTTTATGGGAGGCATAGGAGTTGGCTCCCTTGGCAGTTGGCAATTGTCACAGTCCAGTCCACCCATCTAACAATGGCGAGAACAACATCACAGATGGAAGAAGAAGAAGAGTTTGCATTTGATATCCCGCTTTATCACTACCCGAAGGAGTCTCAAAGCGGCTAACATTCTCCTTTCCCTTCCTCCCCCACAACAAACACTCTGTGAGGTGAGTGGGGCTGAGAGACTTCAGAGAAATGTGACTAGCCCAAGGTCACCCAGCAGCTGCATGAGGCGGAGCAGAGACGCGAACCCGGTTCCCCAGTTTACGAGACTACCGCTCTTAACCACTACACCACACTGGCTCTCCAAGATGGAAACTTGGAGATCAGCATGCAAAACCAAGGTAGGAAGAAGGAAGCATTTTAGATTCTTGCAGTGCCTTTGCCCTCAAGGAATTTCACTTGTATCATGCTAATTCTGACAAAAGCGTCGCCAATCAGTTCACAAAGGAAAACATCTTCCAAATCAAAATTTGCCAACAGGGCATTTTAAAAAGTGTTTCCTGTGCCACACTGTTTACTGTTTGTCTAGCACTTTTTAACTTCATCCTTTAGCCTGTGGAGGTCAATGTCTTGCTGCCAGGCAAGGCAAACCCCGTAATATCCTAAATTACCACTGCAAATTTCAGAAAATCTGCCTGACTAATCAGCTGCATATAAGGAGTAGCTCTAGGTCTTGCATCAAAGGAGCTCCTTCTGCTGCTCTCCTTCTGTGCACCCCCTTGTCCTTTTAGTCCTTCTCAGACGGAGCCAACATGACGAGCCAACAGTTCTTCACTTCTTCTCCTCGAAGATGTTTTACCTCTGCCTCCTCTGGTGGAGGCAGCGGAAGGATCAGAATCAGTGAGGCATCCACCTGCCAACCTTTTGCCACCACCTGCCTGGCAGAAAGGGAAAACACCAGCAAAAGTTTCCATAACTTTGGTGGAAGACATCAGATTTCTTGCTGTGTGGGCCAGGAGAGAAGTAGCTATGGAAACGATATGGAAGCAGGACAAGTGGTGGGCCACAGCATACTTGCAAGGGGCTTTGGACATAGAAGCACAAGAAGTCCTTCTGCCAGCTGTAGAAGCGATAGGATCCGTGAGGTCTCCATTAACAAGCATCTCTTGGAACCTCTCTGCCTGGGGGTCGATCCGCATGACCATCAAGTAAAAGCACTGGAGAAGGAGCAACTAAAGGACCTCAACAATCAGTTTGCTTGCTTCATTGACAAGGTGAGATGATCCCATTAATGATGATGGGGATGATCCCAGACCGAAGGGACTGCACACATGTGGCTGAACATTAAGATATTTCAAGCAGAGTTAGAGTTCTAATTAATTCTGCTGCCACATTAAGTGATACGTTTGCAGAGAGCAAATTTTGAATCATACCTGGAGACTTTGAAGGATATGGCCTGATTCACACCTGTACACTTGGCAGCAGAATGTGTGAATTGACTCAATTGAAATGTGCTGTGTTTGTGGATGATCATGTGCTAAAAGTTCAGTCCACGGTGTTTACATCTCTCCATAGAAGGCTTGTGTTATTGCTTGCTAGATTGCAGCATACCCAGCAGTCTTGAAATTTAGCTCCAAGGTTTCTCGGGACAAAGCTGTCCAGTGGTAAAACAAGTGCTCGCTTCGGCAGCACATATACTAAAATTGGTAAAACAAAATATTATGTAAGCACCATGCCATTTTTCAGCATAGCCACACTACAGACTCATATGGGAGGGAGGTTACTGGTTTGTTTTTGTTTTATTATGTATTTTATGTTCTCATTTTGTATTTTTATGCTGTGAACCACCCTGTGATCTTTGAATGAAGGGTGGTATGCAAATTTAATGCTAGTAGTTGTAGTAGTAGTAGTAGTAGTAGTAGTAGTAGTAGTACAACCTCTGTGACAGCCCATTCACAGCTGGTTAGAACATGGTGTTCAGTTGGTTAGAACATGGGGCTAATAATGCCAAGGCTGCAGGTTTGATCCCCATGTGGGACAGTTGCATATTCCTCATTGCAAGGGGTTGGACTAAGTGACCCTCAGGGTCCCTTCGAACTCTACAGTTCTGTGATTCTATGATCACACCCCATCATGAAGAGGATGGGTAGCTTTTCTAAGCCCACAGCTTTTCCCTTCCTGGCTAACTGTGGCTTGGGAGGGCAATTCTGATCTGGTTCAAGGCTGTAGCGGAAGCAGAAATGGGTAGACAGTATACTTTATTCAATATACAGTGGACACAGGAAAATACAGGCCTTTTTTGTGGTGGCTCCTCACTTGTGGAATGCTCTCCCCAGGGAGGCTTGCCTGACACCTTTGTTACATTTATTTTGGTGCCAGGCCAAATAATTCCTCTTCTCCCAGAATCTATGGTTTTTTAAACAGTGGGGCAGGGGTACTGTTTTTGTTTGTTACTATGTTACACATTTTTTGTGGGTTTTCATATTTTAAATTTCTGTGTGATCCTCAGATGACGGGCAGTATAGAAATTTTAACAACACCATAGGTGGTGAGAAGGGTGTGGCTGAGGTGTTTTCATGAAAAAATGGATTAGAGTACACTTAGAACCATAATGTAAGGTTTTGATTATATACGTGAGATATATCATTTGAGTCACTTCCATAATGGTTTTGTGGTTATATTTTGTATTTAAAAACAACAACCAAGCATATATTCAGCACCTAACAGCGAATCCCGTAGCAGCAAAATGCGGACTCATTCATGCATTTATTTGCTGTCAGAAGTTGCAACAGCTTCACAGCAACTGGCCTTTGCTTTTCTTGCTTGGATTTCAGGTCAGATCCTTGGAACAGAAGAACCAGGTGCTGGTCACCAAATGGAAGCTGCTTCAGAAACAGACGGTTCCCACCGTTCGGAAAGATCTCAAGCCTTTATGTGAAAATTTCCTCAGTAAGCTGAGGAAAAAACTGGACTGCTTATTGTGCGAGAAGCAGAAGCTCGAAAACCAGCAAAAAACAACGCACAGCATGGTTGAGGAGAACCGGTGCAAGTAAGTTAACCTCTCGACGTGGAACCCATGTTCACAGCCAGCTTCTACACTTAGTGAGCCAAAAGTGGTGGCAGACCTTACATGGCCTGAACTCCACAGAACTAGGAGTGTGGTGGGGGAAGGTTTTCACTCTGCGTTTTAAGGTGAGCCTATCTAATTTGTGCACCCCAAAACAACAGATGAACTGGAGAGTTGTTGTTGTTTAGTCGTGTCCGACTCTTCGTGACCCCCTGGACCAGAGCACGCCAGGCACTCCTGTCTTCCACTGCCTCCCGCAGTTTGGTCAAACTCATGCTGGTAGCTTCGAGAACACTGTCCAACCACCTTGTCTTCTGTCGTCCCCTTCTCCTTGTGCCCTCCATCTTTCCCAACATCAGGGTCTTTTCCAAAGAGTCTTCTCTTCTCATGAGGTGGCCAAAGTCTTGGAGCCTCAGCTTCACGATCTGTCCTTCCAGTGAGCACTCAGGGCTGATTTCCTTGAGAATAGATAGGTTTGATCTTCTTGCAGTCCATGGGACTCTCAAGAGTCTCCTCCAACACCATAATTCAAAAGCATCAATTCTTCGGCGATCAGCCTTCTTTATTATCCAGCTGGGGAGAGGGGAGGTTAAATCCCCACTCAGCTAGTAAGCTCACTGGGTGGCCCTGGTCCAGTCACTTCCTTTCAGGGTTGTTAACAACCTAGCAGTTTAAAAGCACGTCAAAGTGCAAGTAGATAAATAGGTACCACTCTGGCGGGAAGGTAAACGGCGTTTCTGTGCACTGCTCTGGTTCGCCAGAAGCGGCTCAGTCATGCTGGCCACATGATCTGGAAGCTGTCTGCGGACAAACTCCGGCTCCCTCGGCCTATAGAGTGAGATGAGTGCCAACCCCAGAGTCGTTCGCGACTGGACCTAACGGTCAGGGGTACCTTTACCTTTAAGGGGATTAAATGAGAGGGAGAACTTTGAGCTGCTTGGAGAAAAAGTGGGACATGAATGCAATAAAACAATATAAGTAGAATGCTGCTTTCTGTCCATTCCTAGCCAGAACTAGATGTTATGGCTGAAAACAACAGTCCTGAATCTCTTATCTGTCTCTCTCCAGTCACATGAAATTAAACATGAGGACCCTGTGATTACCTCCCACGCCCCATTCCAATCCAATGGCTGCTTCCTATGAACCGCCAGGAATTTGCCACATGATAACATCATGCCATTTTTCCCCAACACGGCATGGAATACCCATGTGAAGTGGCCTTCAAATATTGAAGGAACAGCGAGATCATGCCAGTAGCTTGCTCTGTGGAAAACCTGCTTGATGTTTGCTCTGATTCAGTGGTAAAATGTGGGTTTTTCCTGGGGGGAAGCATTGGGACAAGGTCTGACAGAGACCTGGAAAGCCCAGACCTGTGGTACAAAAGGAAGTGAGGATGAGGTCTCAGAGCTGGGACAGTGGCATAGCCCCTTCAATGGATAGCACTACCTTCATGTTGTTAACAGGTGAAGGGGGCTTAAACGTTGCTGGAAAGCAGGGGAGATAATGGGATGTGGCATTTTCAGTTTGGGCAACAGCCCTTAACCTGCCATTTAACAACTAAAGCATGTCAGAAACCAGGCTGAAACCTACCATGGCTTCAACCTTCCCTCTCCATAGTGCCACCTCGGGCATTTGTACTTTTGCAAGAGAGTGCAATCCTCAAACCTGTCATTGACCAAATAGTTCTACTAGTCCTGTGGTGTTTTAACTAAACTTAAATGTATGTATGTTCTTTTCCCCTGAAACACTGACATTCAAAACCGTCAAGTACAATCTTGGAAAAGATTTGTTGTCTAGATGCATACATACCCAGAGAAGTTGAGATGTATGCTGCTTAAAATGTGATATAATTTGTTCTGTTCCCAGTTCCTTCTTCTTTTCATCCTGGTTTCTACAGCACAGGATTAATGGTTCCTGTCACATTTTAATTATGTGTTGCATGAAAATGCATGTCATAAAGACTGCGTGACTGGTTGTTAGGCTTTGTTTTGGTCTGATGTCAAATTGTTTCAGGAGGGGGCAATTTTGACTGGAGGATTGGCAGAAGAAGAGGTCAAAAGTGCTTAACCCTTTTCATGCCAGTCCAGCCACTAAAAATAACATCCCCAAGCTCCCCCCCCCCCCCATGCAGGGTTACAGACATTTTTACACTGTAGGGCTAATAAAACACTGTGGAGTTAGTAAAAGCAGCTTCGGGAAAGGGGATGTGGAAGATAAAAGAGGCCAGCAAATAATGGGATTCGATGAACTCCCCCTTTTGCTGTCCCTGCTGTTTCTTGGCTCAAAATTCCCCCATCCTGAACTGCTTTTCTTTACATCAAATGACCATTGGGACTTTGTACATGTGGTTAAGTGTAATCCATGCTTGCTTATTGTGTTTGGATAAAGTGTTTCTCTTTCCTCCACTTTCTCTCTCTCCCTCTCAAATCCTGCAAGATATGAAGAAGAGCTGAACAGACGAACAAATACAGAAAATGAGTTTGTCTTGCTCAAGCAGGTGAGTGATTTAGGTAGGCCTGCACAGTAAAATGTGCATGCCAGCACAAATTGAGGAATACAGTGGGGATTTCTAGATTTACACATTTTAATTTTAATTTACATAAGTAAAGGCAACTGGGGGCATTGATCACCAGCAAGGAACTGCAGTCAGTTCCAGGTTGTGATGAACATCTCTGGGCTCAGTCACACTTAGCTTTTGCCCCATGCTTTCTAGGTTCAGAGCTACACTTTCCTGATCCAAGCCCACTTTCCCCAGGAAAACCTGTTCTTTAATCTTGAATCAGAATGAAAAATGGCAATTTGGGTTTCCCACAAATTGCGTGGGGGGGGGGGGGGAGAAGCATTCAGACGTGGTCCAGAAAACCACAGACCTGTGCCTAGAAAGTACAGAGGAAAATTAGTGTGGATGAGCCCTCTGTTACATTCACACTTTCCATTTTTTAGGTGTACGCATTTAAAAGAACATTATTATTGGCATTTTAAAAACATAAATGTGGGAAGAGGTCCTAAGGAGCAAATCCTAAAGCCACTGCAGGCCTCTGTTTTTTCTTGGACTCTAGCTTCCATCAGTCACAGCCAGTCAATGGTCAGGGATTATGGAAACTGTAGTTCCATAGCTATAGTACACAGGTTCCCCACCCTGTACTATAGGATGCTTTTGGGGCAGTTATTTCTTGTTCCAAATTGGTGGGAGAGGTAGTAGGAGAGATGGGGAAATTGCTCCACTAAAGGGAATGATATGTTGTTGTTGTTGTTTAGTCGTTTAGTCATGTCTGACTCTTCGTGACCCCATGGACCAGAGCACACCAGGCACTCCTGTCTTCCACTGCCCCCCACAGTTTAGTCAAACTCATGCTGGTAGCTTCGAGAACACTATTCAACCATCTCGTCCTCTGTCGTCCCCTTCTCCTTGTGCCCTCCATCTTTCCCAACATCAGGGTCTTTTCCAGGGAGTCTTCTCTTCTCATGAGGTGGCCAAAGTATTGGAGCCTCAGCTTCAGGATCTGTCCTCCCAGTGAGCACTCTGGGCTGATTTCCTTAAGAATGGATAGGTTTGATCTTCTTGCAGTCCATGGGACTCTCAAGAGTCTCCTCCAACACCATAATTCAAAAGCATCAATTCTTTGGCGATCAGCCTTCTTTATGGTCCAGCTCTCACTTCCATACATCACTACTGGGAAAACCATAGCTTTAACTACACGGACCTTTGTTGGCAAAAAGGGAATGATATAGCCTGCCATAATTCAGGATGAACACAATGCTGATCTTGAAGACCGAACATTCCTATTGAACTGCAAAAATGTATCAGCGTGGAGAAATAGAGGGCTGAAACAATGTACATCACTTGATTTCTCATTGCCACTTGAAGCTCATGTCTTCAAGAGATGAGGGTACATGTAACAAGCAGCCAGCCTCATTTCATTGGAAGAAAAGGCATTTGATAAACACAGATGTCCTAGAAAAGTACATACCT